CTGTTTCTCTTTATCAAATCTTTTTTCTTTTTTCTGTGAGGGCTTATTAATAAGCCAAACAGGCCTGATGTGCAAGCATTTGACTAGGGATTGAACCCAGGGGCCCTTGACCACTGAACCACATTCCCAGCCCTTTTTTGTATTTTATTTGGAGATAGGGTTTTACTAAATTGAGTTGCTTAGGGTCTCACTAAGTTGCTGAGGCTGGCTTTGAACTCATGATCCTTCTGCCTCCGCCTCCGAAGCTCGAGGAATTATAAGTGTGCGCCACCACACCCAGCACTAGTACTTACTTAAGACCACAGTTTTGAGTGATTTTTTTCCTTTTAAAATGTGTACTGATCAATTTTCATTCTTGTTTTAGGTGGAAAGCCAGATGACATCACCGTCCTTCTTTCCATAGTGGCTGAGTATACAGACTGACTCACCGAGCTGTCGACTCCTGCCTTTCCTTTTTTGTCCCAATTTCCCTGCCATGTGTGCTGATCCTGCTGGCAGGACCACATTTCTTTGCCACTGATCTCAATGGCCAGTGATGTAAGCCTTTTGCCTGTCTTTTTGAGACCCATTGAGATCTTTGTTGAGAACCACTACTGTCATTCACTAGCTCATGTCTGCTGGCAACAGTTGAAGAGAAGCAAGATTTGAAGATCAGCCTTCATTCTCGTGGAGGTTTTCAAAGGCTATTACTTTTCAAAAGCAGTTGAAGTATTGAGAATGGGTAATGTTGGTAAAGAGAATTCAAAATTACAGTGTGTTACAGGGATTTTAAGTCTGGCAAGTCATAAATTATGATACGTCTGCTAGAAAACATACATTATTCATCAAAAGAAATGTCACATATTTTCCACTGGCACCATCTTGGTTATGGTGATCGGGTGTGGCTTTATGTTTTCATTATAAACTCCTATTTTCCAGGAGCTCATAAATATGCTCTGGGTTATAAGATCTTGATCCCAGAAGCTTTTTTGTTACACATTGGAAGAAAAAAGTAATTATTTTAGTTCTGTGGATGCAAATATTTTGTGCTTTTAAAAGATGCTTAATTGTATTCCCGTGATTAAAGTTTTGGCAGTTTATTGATTAGTCCAAATCACAGGCTGGTTGCCTGATATCGGGGGAAGGGGGTATCCTTACCAAAATTTTTTAATGGAAATACTACTCAAGATTGCAAAAGTCCTTAAAGCCTAGAAACTTAGTGCTATGGCTGGAATTCCCCCCGCTGTCTGCAAGGTGCCCTGGGTGGGCTCTCTGGGCCCCAGGCTGACAGGTTGAGAATGGACAGCTGTAGCTGGGTTTTTGCTGGCTCACAGTCATGCTGCCCATGGAGCCCTCAGACCTTCTCCTAGGAGCCTTGCTTTTGCAGAGCATGCACCGAATCACTGCGTCCACCAGGCAAGAGCACGTGTGCAGTGGCAGCAGCACAGAGCCCACAGGGAAAACTCCTAGTGATGATCTGACTTTTGCAATTGCTCCAAACAGAAATGTAGGGGTTTCTGAATCAAGCTTAATGTTTACAGTTTCCGAATAGCCATTTTGCAGTGTATAATTTCCTTATAAAAACTACCCTGAATTTGGTTTCCCATTACCTGCAGGCTCAAACTTATTTTTAAGGTTTATGTACAAGTTGACTGCTGTAAAGATATATATTTTTGAGTCAGTTTTTTCCTTCATTAACTTGGTGGTAGAAAAATATATATACTTAGAAATCCTTAAATTAAAGCCATGTTTTATATATACGTCAGGTAACATTGGTGTATAGATGAGAATGCAATTAAACCTGACGAGAATCTACTTGAGGAGAACACAGAAAGTTTTTTCTCGAGAGGAGATACTGACTCCCTGGTTTATTGCATTAAAACTTACGTTTGAGGTTACCTCAACTTGTTTTAAAAGATTTTGTTTTGTGAATTTGTACTGTATATTTGAGTAACTGTCAAGCTTTTGTTTTATTTAAAATTGTTTAACATGTACCATGTACATGTCATTACTATATTTCAATGCATCATGCTTGTAACAGGCATTTCATTTATAATAAGAATGAGTTATTCATTTGTAAGCCGTTCAATAATTTATCTACTATTCCTTAATTGGCATAATGTTAGATACCTATTTTGAATCACCTTTAATTAAGTGTCAGAATGCCTTAACTACCCTAACTTGACAAAACAGAATTCTTTGGTAGAGAAGATAGAGGGCGGGTGGGATGTGGAGGGAGACTGTTTAAATAAGGAGAAACTATCATGCTCTGCTAGAATATGGACGCATATGTGGCAAGCGGGGTATTTATTTTGCACAAACTCTTTGCAGTCTCTGGGTATTTTTAAAAGTAAAGAAAGTTGCATCCTGAAGGGGTTGGTTAAAAGGAATACATTCATACTAGGATTGATGACTTCAACTCTTTTGTTTGGGTTTGTAATTACTTTTGGTCAGAAGTATGTAGCCTTATAATCTGGATATCATTTTGCATCAATTTTCCAATGCCTCCATTTACTTCCTGGTAGGAGCAGTAACGATCAGGTTATTGGCTTTTCTCTGCTCTCATTTAACCCATCAAACAATCTTTGTAAAGCTAGATTGGTGGTGTTTTATACAACTCGTTTAATCAACTTACTTTTTTTGAGAAATGATTGTTAGAAACTGTCAGTGTGGTTGTTCCAGTGACGCTGAAAATAATGGGGCAAGAATTGAGTTTCATGGTGGAATTGACTTTGGACCTGGCTTGTAGTTTAGTACATAAAATACCCTGTTTTCTTCTTTCCCCTGTCCTTTTTGTGTTATGCACTGCATTTTATGACTGCTAGGGGTCAGGGCGAGTGCTGCTTAGCAAGTAACTCTCCTCCTCTCACTGGTCAGAGGCTGTGTGGGACCCAGAATAGAATTCTCCAAGTCTTACACCCAAACTTCCAGGGGTGTGGCTGAGCTATACCACTTGTTGGGTCTAATTCTGAACCTGATGTGTGTGTGTGTGTGAACTGTATTTTAAATCAAGCAGTGTAAACACACACACATACACACACACACAATTTGCCTCATGTAGTGGACTTTATAACAAAAGAGAAAATTTGGATTTCTAATTTACAAATGGCAAATTATTTATCCCTCTCTGGATGCACCAAAGACCAGTAAAGTTTATAGCTTTTCCATCTATATTTATAAAGCAATACTGTATTATAAAAATCAATATTTTTATCACATGCTTGAAATTTTTATTTTGTTCTGTTTTAAAATGTGCACTCAACATATCAGAACCTTGTTTCTTCCTATGAACTTAAGCTGCCTGCGCACAAAAAACAAACTTTTTTTTAACCAAATGGAGATAAAGTAGATAAGAGTCCATAGGCTCTTAAAAACTGGAAGAAGAAATGAGGGGGGGAAAAAACAAATTGTCCCAAATTATTATACTCACATGGTTGATGGGTACTAACTCCTAAAGAAATCCATTCCAGGTATGCATGTCTGGGGTTTGGGCTGTGTCTAGAGTAGAAAAAACACAATTTTGAGCTTTGCAGATGGGAGTGTCCTCTCCTGTCAGCTGCGTTTGTTCTGGATAGAGAGTAACCCGAAGATGAAAACCACCTTCAGTACCACCAACCTACTACATCATGTAACAAGGCAGGAATTGTAAGAATTTACTGAGTCAGTTTTGAGTGTTCTGGAGATGGTCAGTAAGATTGGCGAGAACTGTGAATGTTTGTACCTCTGGATAAGTTCATGGTTCCTTGTCACCTTAATACGAGCTATCTTTGATAGAAGCTACAAAATTCAGTTGGAAACTGAATCACATTTTTATATTTAACAAATTTTACAATACCAGAAAAAACAAAATCTGCTTATAAAGCAAAATACAAAGCAGAAAATATTTGGATTCTATTTATTTGTTAAAATTAAATTAAATTGAACTTCTCAACTAAAAATGTCCACGTCAGAATTTAACTGTTAGCAGGTAGTTTGTGGCAAAGATGGCTAAATAATGAAGCAAATTTGAATATGTGTATACTAATAAGCTGCTTTTTTTCTGTTGAGACTATCATTCTTTGTCTTACCCAAGAGGCAATTACCTGAATTGGATGTCTGAAATATAACTTATGCAGGAATAGTTCTGTAAATACATTTAAATAAACTGTAAAAATATTTAATAAATATAGTATTTATACTAACCTGTGTACTTCTTTTGGTTTGAATGGTAACTAAACAAGGCACCAGCCCTTAACATTGTCCAAGCTCTCCATTTCCAGGCCTCTTAGTCAGCCTTCAGTGAATCTGCACTTTGTGGCTGTGCATTTCTGTCCTTCACAATACTTTAATTGCCATAGCTCATTCTCATCCACTGCTTTACTACATCCGTTAGCTCCCTCTAAACTCATCAAAATGGACTCATAACTGAATGTGAATACAGAGGTTTTCTCTGCTGAGGCTTTGCACCTCCTAAATGTTACAGAGTGAAATTACCCAAAACAAAAACAAAAAAAAAAAAACCTGGTGTGTGTATTCTTGGCACACTATCAAAATTCTAAAACCCAAAGAGTGTACAGTGGAGCAGCATAATTCTTCTGCAGGCCATGCTGCATCAAGGCTGCTGCTGAGATTGGTGTCTATTTTTTAAAAATACATATATTTATTTTTTAGTTGTAGTTAGACACAATACCTTTATTTAATTATATGCGGTGCTGAGGATCGAACCCAGGCCCTCACATGTGCTAGGCAAATTCTCTACCTCTGAGCCACAACCCTAGCCTGAGACTGATGCCTATTTCAATGAAGAAATCAGAAACTTCATCCTCAGCAAGGAGATCTACAGGGTTACTTTTGTGTGTAAAAGTTCTTTATAGAGGTCTGCATTTGTTACGAATATGAATTCAGTGTTAATCATTGGTATAAGCATAAGAGACATAAATTCAGCCTACTTTGAAAATGTAGTTGAAAATATGTGGGCATTGCCACTTTCCACAAAAAGCTTGGTGAAAGCCCATTTTCATTCACTGAGAAACATCTTGGGATGAACTTGAATTTTTATTAGGTTATTGTGGGTAGCTATGACTCATTACTAAGTTACAAGAGCCAAATTCATTCTGGTTTCATTTAGAACTCTGTTCACAGTTCTGAAGCATACTAATCCACTCAGCCACCTTTTCAAATTCCTCACAAAATCTGAAGAACAATTGCTTGCCAGTTAACACTTCCTTATTGTTTGATGGTTTCCCAAAGACTTAGCAATAAGATGTTACAGAAGGCTGGTTCCTGGGGTTATAGAACTGCAAACAAGTCTGGGGGAGGGAGAGGCTCTCACCATAAGGTATTACATAACAGTGTTTTTGTTCCAAATTTTTAGTTTTGTTTATGCAGGTAAGAAGCTAATTCTTAAAGGGACAAAGAACAGACATTTGTATCCCACATTCCATTCCAAACCCAGGCTCTCTTGTGTGGAGGTTGCTACACTATTTTAGATAATACAGAAATGTTTGACATCAAGGGCTGGGGGTGTAGCCAGTTAATAGAGTGCTTGCCTTGCATGCACCAGGCCCTGGGTTCAATACTCAACAGCACCACCACCACAACAACAATAATAAAAAAAGTTTGATATCATTTCCATTAAATTCTTTTCCTGTATCACATTGCAAATAAAAAATCATCCCTGAAAATCTGTTCTAATTGAAGGCTATGAAATCAAATCTTACAAAATACAAAAAGACTCCAAAGTGAGGGAATGATTATTTTTTTCTAAGGACTACTTCAAAAATCAGAATTTTTTTCCCAATGGACAAAAGTGATGTTACTTGAAAAACCTGCATAACCTTTTGCAGTTTCTGAGAGTCCCAAACTCCAAAATGTTCACAAATACAAAATACTGGACTACTAGTCACAAAACTGTTTCAAGACGTCTTGATGCACTTCCATATCTGTTGTACACTAGGCATGAAGACTGGGGCTTAAGGCCAAGCTATCACTGAGCTTTAGATGTGGGAACAGTGCCATTAATCACATCCTCGTCACTGTCACTTGCTATTGCCAGACTGTCCAAAGGGCGGTTGAAGTGTTCTTGCTGGTCAGAAGAAACGGCTCCAAAGAACATGCAAGAAAACTAGAGAGAAGAAAAAAAAAAAACCTGCAGTTTATTCCAAAGTGAAAGTTTGCCCAATTAATGCTCAAGGTGACAGCCCTTGCAGAACGCTGCCAGTGTGGTCCTCCTGTCTTGGTGATGGCTCATGGATGTCATTATTGGCCCAACTAGTTCTAAAACAGACCCTTCCCTAACTTCAGAGCCCAAGATGACCTTCAGCTGGGCCAGAGTTCTGCTGCTGACTTCCCCTGAAGCCATCAGAACTCCAGGCTGAGCCAGACCCTATGCTGGCTGTGTGAACTGAGCTATCTCTTCTCATTTTCCTGCTCTTTAGCCCTGTCTAAAAAGCTTCTGACCCCACCACTTCACAAGCTTCAGATGTGATCAATGAAAATGGCCACATCCTTAAAGTTGGAGGCTGTTTTTTGCCTTCATCCACTCAGATCATCCCTCACACTGCCTTCCAGTGCAGTCCCTACCCTACCCTGGGGGCCACTCAGCAGGCTCACCCTCTTCTACCCAACCTTGAACCAGGGCTCACTTTCAAACTTAGCACAACTGGCATTTGGGACCTGATGACTGTTGTGGGCTGTTCTGTATTGGGAGATGCTGGGCAGTACTGCTAGCCTTTCCCCACTAGATGCCTGTAGCACCCCCTTCCCAACTTGTATCATCCAAATGGCCCCAGACTTTACCCCAGATCTTCTGGGGGAGGAGGCCGCCCCTGGTTAAGAACCACCACCTTAAATGTGAGCTGTCCTCTTGAAATTACCATCTGTGTGCCAGGAAGTCTCCAAGATTGAACTTCAGTCATCCAAGTGCCTGCTTGGTGTCACCAGTTGCCATACTCAAGCCTTGAACCAGGTCCTCAAAACCTAAGTCACCCCGGTCTCTCCCTTTTTCTTTACCCCTTCTAACCAACCCATGTCAAGAGTGTTACCTCCTAAGTTAGCTGTCTCACCTAGCCACTCCTTCCACTCCTCATTTAAGGAGTGACTAACTCAGAGGCTGTAACAGAGAACTTTCTTGCCTTACCACACCCCATTTTTCACATGGCTAAAGTTCTCTTGTAAACATTCAACACCATCAACTGTTAAATCCCTTCAAAGACTTCAAATACCAAGGTACTTTATAAGGCTGTTTACACACAGTCCACAGGACTCTTCCAGCATAAGCTGGCCCTCATGTAGCTTCCCCTTGAGCAATGCATTGCCTACCTCTGGCAGCTGCAGAACTCAGGAGTCAGTTTCTTAAAACCAGAATGCCCCTCAAACTGCAGGGCCTTTGCACCTGCCCCCCCAAACTCACTTCCTTATCCCTTCCAGCTCAGCTTAAGCACAAGTTTCAAACTGAAGACCCCCCCTGGCCTCCTGGAGTAGGCTGTTTAGCACCTTAAATCTCAAAGCACCCTGAACTTTTCATTGAACTTATCACAGCTTTTAAAAACTTCCCTATTTTTAGTCGCACGACTTTTATATCTGAATTTAGTCCCTATGCCTTATACCCTCTTTAGTCTCTAAAAGTTTGGGAACCTTATTTATTTTGCTGACCAGTTTCCCTCACGTGCTCTCCAGGACACCCGCCTGCAGGAAACACTGGTGGAAGTCCATGGGAGCAGCATGAATGAATGAATAAGCCCCGTTCTTGGGTCATCTTCAATTTTGTATCAGAAGATGGGGATGCTCTGTAAAGTGGCAGTTCTGACAGCAGTGTGGGCTCCTCATTCCACATAGAAAACTCCAGCTTAATAAGGGTCAGTATGGACTGATGTCTGTGACAGAGTCCAACCAGGAGCCAATTAATTAGGATCCTGTTTGTACTGCTGCAGCCTGATACTTTTCAGACTGTACTTACTATTAAAATATCAGCTAAGCCCACCTGCCCTATAAGCAAATGTACAATGTGTACAAATGGCTTATACTTTGAAATTCAATCACAAATACACCTTAATAATGAGTGATTACAATAAACAAAGGACACTTTGGATTAAAAAAAAAAAAAAAGCAGCTTGGCAGGGCTGGTGGCATGGTAGACCACACAGTGCCCCTGTGGACCTTATAAGCCCACAAACCTGTAAAGGTGTTATGTCACGTGGCCAAGGGGAACAAAGGTCACAGATGGAGCCAGGGTTGCAAACAGCTGGCTGAACCAGCTGGGGCGCCCAAGGTGAGCACAAAGATCCTTAAGGGTGGAAAGAGGATGGAGAGGGTTCAAGTGAGCAATAGGAAAAGACATACGAGCCAGCGCTGGCCAGAAAGATGGAAGGGGACCATAAGAGAAGAGTACAGTGGCCTCTAGAAGCTGGAAAAGGTAAGAAGCAGACTCCCAATTCTCCTGAACGTCAGTTCTGCTGACACCTTGACCTTAGCCAGTGAGCCATTTTAGACTTGGACCTTCAGAACTGTAGGATGATACGTTTGTGTTGTTTTCATGGCACAAAATTTGTGGAAATTCAGGGCTGGGGATACACCTCAGCTAGTAGGGTGCTTGCCTCGAATGCACAAGGCCCTGGGTTCAATAAATCTGTGGAAGGAGCATAGGAAACTAACACACTGACTTTCGCCATAACTGCAGACACAATCTCAGTTCCCTTTTATGGGTCTAGCCTTGACCAAGGACTGTTGAATATGTATCATCGTATGCACATATCCCTCAGGGACGTTCATGGTACCCCATGAGACCGGGAAGCTTAAGTGGACTTTGGTTTTTGAGAGCTGCCTCAATTTGCCATTGGCTTAGGGTAAGTGCTATTTTCTCTCTCTCTTCTCTTTGGCCTTTAAATCTCACATGGCTGGATAATGGAGACTTCCCCATGTCTTTCAGTGAGAAAACTTGACAGCATCCATGCAGCCAGACAGTAGCCTCAAATCCCATGTGAACTGGGCAAGAAATGAATTAAAAATATGTCTAAATGTTGTGTGTGTGTGTGTGTGTGTGTGTGTGTGTGTGTGTGTGTTCCCTATATTACTGCCCCTGAGAACTGTATATAACTCCCTACATTGAAGAAGCCACTGGTCATTATTTAGGATATAGAACTCTGTTATAGCTAATTTTGAAAATCCCCTTTTCCAAAGTAGCACACCTAGCATATATGTGTATGCATGTGCAGGCACACACACACACACACACACACACACACACACAGTGAACCATCTGGAATTTTGTGAAACCACCAGAGGGGTTTTAAAAACTTTCTTAGGATATCCCAAACCAGGGTTGAAGGTGTCCACACTACTGGCAATGCACTAGAAAGAGAGAAATGAGTAGACTCAGGTCTGCCCTTGATGAACTCACAGTCTACCTAGCAGAGTAAATTAAGACATAAAAGAATACTAAAAAAAAAAAAAAAAAAAATACCCTTTTTTATGGATATGGTAAATTGATATCAAAGCTTAAATTAAAAACAAATTGAGAGGCTGGGGCTGGGGCTCAAGTGACAGAGTGCTTACCTAGCACATGTGAGGCACTGGGTTTGATCCTCAGCACCACATAAAAATAAAGATATTGTATCCACCTAAAACTAAAAAATAAGTATTAACAAAACAAACAAAAAAAAATTGAAAACAGGAAAAAACTGACATAATCCACAAAGGGATATGAAATCACACCTGGAAGCTGTCATATTGCAGTGTTGCCCTGACACATGCAGAGGCCAAGATTAGCAGAACAAAAAGTCCAGAGATAGATTACAACCCCTGATGAACTTAATACAAAGCCAGGTATGGTGGCAGGAGCCAGCCCCAGCAACTTAGAGAAGCTCTGAGCAACTAAGACCTCATCTAGAAATAAAAAATAAAAAGGGGCTGGAGATGTGGCTCTGTGATTAAGCGCCCATAAATTCAATCCCCAGTGGGGGGGTGGGGGAGGAGGGCATATAGAAATTCTTATGCTATTTTTGCAACTTTCCAAAGGTCTGAAATTACTTTAAAATAAAATGTTAAATAAGCCAAGTAGTAGGGTGGGCCACATAGTGATGGAAATATAGGCATCACATGGCTCTGGCCTTGTCAGGTTCACAAACCTGTTTTCAGTGTACATGGCAGAGCCAAGCAGAGGTTAATCCTGAGGCCACTGTCCACACAGCTTGCTCAGCCAGATACCGGATTGCTAGAGAAATAGCCTATCTGCTGCCCCAGCGCACACATATGCTCCGTTTGAGGCGGGGAGGAGAATGGGAAGCCAGGTGAAGACTGTGTACATTAAGTTCCCCAGGGAAAGTCCCTGAATGCCATTCCAAGGAGTTCCACTGCAATGTGACAGGAAGTGGAATGACCAAGAGCCTAAAAGCAGGAGAATGCGAGAGAGTAGTAACGAACATTTGCAGAGCACTGACACACCAGGTATGTCTGTGAGTGCGTTTTTCACAGATCCATTTAACGGATATAAGTATCTCCATTTTTCTGACAAAGAAATTGAGGCAAATATCAGTAACTGCCCAAGTTGTACAGCTGATGAGTGGCAAGAGAAATTTGAATGCAGGAACTTGAACTCTAGAGCCAGGGCTCTGAACCCCTCATTGTCCACCTAAGGTTTGAAGCAAATGTCCCAGCACACCGTGCAAAACCAGGGTGGAGGGGAAAGGGCCCCGGGGCGGCCAGGCCCTCAGCAGGCCAGGTGGAGCACAGCGCTGCCTCCTCCTTGCCATGTGGAGGCCAGCAACTCTCCTTAAAAGTAGGAGAATTTAAGAGAGCTGAAATGAGTGTCACAGAGCTTGCAATTCTAAACATCACTGTCCCTACTGAGGAAACTGGCAATTTTGGTGAATTTCAGGGTCCTGAAGTCCCAGGAAAATGATTTTGTGTTGTTGCCTGTGAAAAAGTAAGCACAGTCAGTGTGACCAAAAAAATTACTTCTATGACTTTAGCATGTTGTTGAAATTAAAATAGAGCATACTATAGATGATCCTAATTTATTCTTGAAAACAAATGCCCACATCTCTACTTAGAATATGCTTTGTTAGAAATTACTGAGAAATGTAACTATTTGTATTGACAGTTTATAAATCAGATTTTTCTCATCAGAGACACCTCCTCTAACAAAAAATAATAAAACAACACAGGGGTCGGGGGTAGCTCAAGGGTACAGAGCTTGCCTAGGATGCATGAGGCCTTGGGTTCAATCTCCAGTGCCACACACACAAAAAAAAAAAAGAAAAAAAAAGAAATAATTCACAAGAGGCTGAGGTGGGTTGGGGCACAGGGTGCCGAGGGAGACTGGTACTGACACTTCTTGACTGAGTGTCTGTCCGTCTGCCTTTTTCTTCTTACCTTCCTGAGATATGGAGAGCCTGGCCCTTCCTCTGTGTCGCTCACAATGCTTTCAGGTACTTCAAAGATGTTGTCTCCACTTGCTTTCTTCCTTTGAGGGCTGCCACAGTTTTCCCCTGCAGAGTTTTTGGTGGCAGCTTCCCTAGGATAAAGCCTCTTGGGTGCTGATTTTCTTGAGATATACTCTGGAGTCTGGCTGGTTCCACTTTTATCAGCCTTCGAATTTGACCGTATCATATCTGACCTGAGATGTTAACAGGGATTAAACGAGCTGTTTCTTTGAAATATATATATGTATGTATGTGTATATTTATGTATTTTTTTTTTGAGGAGTACCAGGGATACTTAATCAGGGGTATTTAAGTACCAGGAGTACTTAACCACTGAGCCACATCCCCAGCCCTTTTTATTTTTTATATTTAGAGACAGGGTCTCACTAAGTTGCTTAGGTCCTTGCTAAATTGCTGAGGATGGCTTTGAATTTGCAATCCTCCTGTCTCAGCCTCCTCACTCACTGGGGAAATATATCTTTTATATAACTAATGGAGCAATGTGAATGACAATGATAGTGCTGATTTAGAGGATGTAATAATACAGAATTAATTGTTGAAACCTACATTTATGTATATAATCATTTAGAAACTCCTTTGACTTCATATTATATGTTAACAGGATCAAGTTAGAAAAAAATAAATTATTAGAAATATGTAGAATGAAACATCATGAGGTCATGAAAACCTATGTTTTGAGCATGGGGTTGTGGCTCAGTGGTCAAGTGCTTGCCCAGCACAGTGAGGCTATGGGTTCTATCCTCAGCACCACATAAAAATAAATAAATAAAATAAAGGTATGTTGTCCATCTACAACTAAAAAAAAAAAAAAAAAGCTGTACATGTTCAGTGCAGATGCAAACTTAAAAATATAAATAAAACCTATATTTTCAAGTCATAATCAATGATGCTGGAACACACATATTCACAATATATTTTATGGAGAAAAACCAGAATACAAAACAACACATTACATGATCTCACTCCTTTTTTCTCCTTTTTTATTTTTGGTACCAGGGATTGAACCCAGGAGTGCTTTACCACTGAGCCACGTACGTGCTCAGCCCTTTTTAATTTTTAATTCTTTAAGTTGTTTAATCCTCATAAAGTTGTCAAAGCTGCTGAAACTTCTGATCCACCTGCCTTCATGTCCCTAGTTTCTGAGATTACAGGAACTCACTATGTGCCCAGCCCAATCTTGTTTTAAAATACAAGTATATGGGGGCGGGGGGAATCTGAAAGAAAATTCAGTGAGCTAAAATGTTAATAGTAGCTATTTCTGAGTGGGGCAATTATGAGTGAATTCTATTTTCTTCTTCTTTTTTTAATATTTATTTTTCAGTTGTAGTTGGACACAATACCTTTATTTTATCTATTTATTTATTTTATGTGGTGCTGAGGTTCAAACCCAGGGCCTCAGACATCCCAGGTGAGCGCTCCACCGCTGAGCCACAACCCCAAACCCTATTTTCTTCTTTGTACTTTTATGTATTTTCCAAAATTTCTACTATAACTTTGTGTGACTTTACAACAAATTATGCCTCCCACCAAAATGTTATTAAGGAAAAGAAAAATAGAAAAAAGATAAATGGTTATCCCTGTATCTGAGAAAGAAGAGTTTTATGTAATGAATAACATACTTTCCTGAAAAATTTGACACTGAAAATTGAAAATGAGTTTTGAATGATAACAAAGATAAATCAGATAGCCCTGATAAGTTCTGATCAGAAGAGAAAAAAACAAATATCTGATACAACATTGGTGAAGTTTCAACATTAGGATTTGGTGTTACTCTAGCTCTTCTAGATTGGGACAAAATTTCTGACCTAATGTTTTACTCCCCAGTTGTTTCCTAAGTGAATGCCACTGAATTATTTCAGAAAAAGATGGCATGGCTTTCCCCAACCAATAACAAATTTAAAACATAGATTTACCTTTTTTGTGTCTGCGAGAGACACAGTGATTGTGGCGAAGATGCCCGACTTGGGTCATCAGCCAAGGTAGCCAAAATAAAGTTAGCTTCCAGTAGCATGTCATCAATACTCAAAGCCATTGGTCTAAAAGGGCAGAGGCAGAGCAAAAATAACATTTATTTTCTGGTGGTCATTAAGAATGCATTAAAGATGATAATTATGGAATAAAAAGAAATAGTACCTATCTTTCATGTGGGAATCTTTAATAATCTCAAATAACCACAGTCCTAAGAGCTGAAAGATCCCTTAGAAATCATTAAATTCAATTTCATAAATACACCTCAACCCAATCCCATTTAAAATTTTAGTTTGGAGGGGTTGGGGATGTAGCTCAGTGGTCCAGCACTGGCCTAATGTGTGAGACCTTGGGTTCCAGCCCCAGTCCCACAAGTTTTTGCTCTGAAATAGATAAAGTCTCATAGTTTCCTAGGGATTTTAACTTGCTTAAGCCATATAGGGTTTTCTAATTAGGCAATTTATTCAGCAGCATGTCAAATTTATAAATGTTTCACTCTGCAAAAACATGTATCTTTCTCAATCAAGTTCCAATTTAAAAATGCCATTTGGCATCTTTCAAAACTTTACTTTGATACATGAAGCTAGTAAAGTTAAGGAATTCCTGGGGTATGAATTAATTTCACCATGATTCAAAGGATTTTATTATCACAAAAGAGTGAAACTCAGAAAAGTTCCCAAGGACCTACTTTCCAGGAAAATCAAAATGAATGGATATAGGAACATGGATAGCTTCTGAAAACGTCAGCATTCCCTGAGGAAGAAAATTAAAAAAAAAAAAACTTTAAATCTTTATGAAAAATACCAGTAAAAACCTGAATTTGAATTTGACACAAATATTTGTTTACCTTCAATTCTTTGAAGCAAAATGTTATTTCTGTATCCAACCCAATCTGAAAGAAGTCAAACTCATCTGGGCCAAAAGACATCTCACTGTACACAGAATTTGTCAAATCTGTTTAATGTCATAGAAAAAAATAAAGAATAAAATGAGTCCCAGAGGCATTTATTAAATTTTAATGTGAAAATAAAATATAAAGGCTAGGTTAAAAAATAGTCACAAATTCTTTGACATTCCTTGAGAAGTGGGTTCTATGTCTACATCCCTTCCCCTTGAATCAGGGTAGGATCCGGAGTGCTTTGACCAAAAGGATATGGCAAAGAGACCTGCACTGGTTTCTGTGTCCAGACCTTAAGAGACTGGCAGTCTCCTCTTCCTGTCTGTGCAATACTGACTCTTGTAACTCAGGTACCAGGCCATATGAAATCCAGGGTGCATGGTCACGGGCCCTGCTGAGCTCCCAGCATCCACCAGAAGCCATGTGAGTGCGCCTTCTTCACATCTTCAGATGATTCCACCCCCAGCCATATGAAATCCAGGGTGCATGGTCACGGGCCCCGCTGAGCTCCCAGCATCCACCAGAAGCCATGTGAGTGCGCCTTCTTCACATCTTCAGATGATTCCACCCCCAGCCACCATGGGATAGCCCTCGTTCCCCATTCTCCTCCCAGCCACTGGCAACCATTAACCTATTATCTGTTCTCTGGATTTAGCTATTCTGGATATTTCCTATATGTGGACTCATTTAATATGTGGCCTTTGGTATCTGGTTTCTTTCACTCAGCACAATGTTCTCAAGATTCATCCACACTGTAGCCTCCACCCAGACTTCATTCCTTTTTATGGATAAATGATGTTCAATTGTATGGAGATATCACAGTTTCTTTATTCATTCATGAGTTGAAAACATTTGGCTTCCATTCTATGGCTATTATGAGTAATGCTCTTATGAATATTCATGTGGACCATGAGGCAGAGCTCATAGTCCTAAAGATGGCAAAGGAACAATATAAAAAAAGCCTGGTGCTTTGATGAACATGGAATAATCATTATCAACCACTATTATTTTATTTTCTGCCACTCATATTTAAAGATAATTCTAAATAACATACCCTACAATTTTTAAATTTTATGTTCCTTTAAACAGAAACAAACTTCACACTTACTTTTTTTTTTTTTTTTGTACTGAGAACTGAAACCAAGGAGGGATTTACCATTGAGCTAAGTCCACAGCCCTTTTCTGAATTGCTTAGGGCCTTGTTAAGCTGCTGAGGCTGGCCTCAAACTTGTGATCCTCTTGCCTCAACTTCCCAAGTTTCTGGGATTACAGGCATGTGCCATAGTGTCTGGCCATATCTTCTTTTTTTTTTTTGGTACAGGGGATTGAACCCAGAGGCGCTTAACCACTAAGCCACATCCTCAGTCCTTTCTGTATTTAGAGACAGGGTCTTGCCGAATTGCCTAGGGCCTTGCTGAGTTGCTGAAGCTGGCTTTGAAATCTCAATCCTCCTGCCTCAGTCTCCAATTCCATCAAGAAAGTAAAAAATAGGTTTACAGGAGTGCACCACCGAGCCCAGCTTCCAGACATATCTTATGTCATCTATTCAAAAAAAGATGATTTGACTTAGTTCAACAACGTACTATCATAGCACACCCTGATGTTTGGAATTTACATGTACATTTCAAGATAATCAAGGATTTATGTATTATTTCCTCTATTACATATTCTTCTATGATTTAAAAATTGAATGATGGCTGAGCATGGTAGTACATGTCTGTAATCCCAGCAGCTCAGGAGGCTGAGGCAGGAGGATCACAAGTTCAAAGCTAGCCTCAGCAACCACGAGGCACTAAGCAATTCAGTGAGACCCTGTCTCGAAATAAAATACAAAACAGGGCTGGGGATGTGGCTCAGTGGTTGAATGCCCCTGGGTTCAATCCCTGCTAACCCACCCCCAAAATTGAATGATGTACAAAAAATCATGCAACGAAAGAAAATAGATGAGTTGGCTCCAACAAAAATTTAAGACTTTTGTGGGGCTGAATTTGTGGCTCAGAGGGAAAGTGCCCACCTCACATGCATGAGGCACTGGATTAGATCCTCAGTACCACATAAAGATAAAATATTGTGTCCACCTATAACTAAAAAATTTTTTTAAAATTTAGGACTTTTGGGCTAGGGTTGTGACTCAGTGGTAAAGCACTTGCCTCACCTGTGTGAGGCACTGGGTTTAATTCTTAGCACCACATATAAATAAATGAATAAATGAAGGTCCATCAACTACTAAAAAAAAATTTTTTTTTAAAGTGATAGAGGGAGGCTGCGGTTGTGGCTCAGTGACAGAGCACTTGCCTAGCATGCATGGATTCGATTCTCAGCACCCCATACAAATAAATAAAATAAAGGTCCATCAACAACTTAAAAAAAAAATGATAGAGGGCTGGGCTGTGGCTCAGCAGTAGCACTCTTGTCTGGCATGTGTGAGGCACTGGGTTCGATCTTCAGCACCACCTATAAACAAATTAATAAAATAAAGATCTATCAACAATTAAAAAAAGTGATAGATAATGTTTAAAAAAGTTTTAATACTTTTGGGCTGGGGATATAGGTCAGTTGGTAGAGTGTTTGCCTTGCAAACACTGGGTTCAATCCCCAGCACCACAAAAAAAAAAAAAAAAAATTAAGACTCTTGTGCTTCAAAATATTCCATCAAGAAAGTAAAAAACAGCCAGGAACAATGGTGCATACCTGTAATCCCAGCAACTTGAGAGGCTAAGACAGGAGGACTTCGAATTCAAAGCCAGCCTCAGCAATGGTGAGGCGCCAAGCAATTCATTGAGACCCTATCTCTAAATAAAATACAAAACAGGGCTGGGGATGTGGTTCAGTGGCCAAGTGCCCAAGTTCAATCCTTGGTACAAAAAACAAAAAAGAAGGAAAGAAGGAAAGTAAAAAAACAACCTACAAAATTGGAGGAAATATTTGCAAATCTGTATATAATGAGCTAGCATAAAGAATAATCAAAAGACAATCCAAGTAAAAAAAAAAATGAACAAGGGATTTGAACAGACTTTTTTCCAAAGAAGAAATGACCAATAAATACATGAAAAGATACTCGACATCATTAGTCATTAGAGAAATGCAAATCAAACCCAGAATGAGGCACTACCTCACACCCACTAGGCTGGCTGTAATCCAAAAGACAGACAATAACAAGTACTGTCAAGGATATGAGAAATCAGACCCCACATGTGGCTGGTGGGATGTACAATGGGACACTCGTCATTGAAAAACAATATGGCAGGTTTTCAAAATATTAAATATGATATTACTGTAAGACTCAGCAATTTAACTCCTAACTATATGCCCAGATAAATGAAAACACATAATCACAAAAAATCTTGTAGATTAATGTTCATGTTAGCTCTATTCCTAAGAGCCTTATTCATATGAAACAATCAAAATGTCTGTCATGGTTTAGCTATGAGGCGTCTCCCAAAAGCTCATGTGTGAGACAATAAAAGAAAGTTCATAGGTGAGATGATTAAGTTATGAGAGTCTTGACCTAATCAGGGCATCGTCCACTGATATGGATTAACTGGGCGGTAACCATAGGCAGGTAGGGTGTGGCTGAAATAAGCAGGTCACTGGGGGTGCATCTTTGGGGTTTTTATTTTCCCTTAGTGAGTGGAGCTCTCCTTCTGCTTCCTTGTGGCCATGTTCTGAGCTGTTTTCCTCCTCTATGCCATGATGTTTTGCCTCATCTTGGGCCCAGAACTCTGGGGTAGGTGATCTATGGACTGAGACCTCTGATACCATGTGCCAAATAAACATTTCTCTACATTCTTGTCAGGTCTTTTCTTGTCAGCAAAGAATAAGCTGACTAAAACAATGCCCACCAAATGGTGAATGAGTAAATCAAATGTGGCATAACCATAGAAAAGAATATTATTCAGCAATTTAAAACAAAGTACTGATAAACACTATAACATGGAACATTCTTGAAAACATTGTGCTAAATAAAAGAAGGCTGACTCAAAAGGCCACATGTTGTATGATTCCATATTTCATACAAAATGTTCCAGGATAGGCAATCTATAGATACAGAAAGTAGATTAGTTGTCACTTAGGGCTGGGGCTGGGAGGAAATGAGAACAAATCCACATAGAATAAAAAATGAATTTATTCTTTAAATGAATCACTCATATGGTATATAAGTTATATCTCAATAATATTATCTTTTTAAAATTATTCATGATGAATTTGGGGGAACTACCTATAATCTTAGCAACTTGACAGTCTGAGACAGGAGGATCAAGGATCAGAAGTTTAAGGAAAGCCTAACAACTTAGCAGGACCCCATCTCAAAATAAAATAAAAAATAAAAAGGACTGAGCCAAGTGTGTTGGCACATGCCTGCAATCCCAGCAGCTTGGGAGCAGCAGGAGAATGCATTCAAAGCCAGCCTCAGCAAGCCAGCAAGGCCATAAGCAACTTAGTGAGACCTGTTTCTAAATTTAAATAAAATAAAAGGGCTGGATGTGATTAAACGCCCCTGGGTTAAATCCCCAGTACCAAAAAATAAAAGTAAAAAAGGGCTGAGAATGTAGGTCAGTGGTAGAGCACATCTGGGCTCAATCCCTAGTACTGAAGGAAAAAAAGGAGGAGGAGGAGGGGAAGGAGGAGAAGGAAGAGGAAGAAGAATGAATTTAGAGGGAAAAGGGATTTGTTTGTTTGTTTCTCAAATCCCATCCCATTTCCTTCCCCTCCCCCTCCCACGCCTGACAATATCTGTGTACTGTTTATAAGTACCTTTGTTCAAAAGAGAAATTCAGTATATTTTTATATTCCTCTTGCATTCCTGACTTCCACAATTTAGAGACTATTACAAGAACATTTCACATAAACTGCTTATGTAAAAATATCAGAGTTCTTACCTAAAGTGATCTGAGATGAATAAAATTCACACACACATAACATGACTTTAATAGTTTCTTAGTACCTTCATTGAATCTTCTGCTGTTCTAACTGAAATAGAGAAGATACACCAAACTATCTCTGGATAGCAGGACTTCAGGTGACTTGTTTTATTTGTGCTTTTTTTTTTCTTCTTCAATGAACATGAATTATATACATAGTAAGAATAAAGGTTAATTATATGTATTTTTAAAAGGGTCTCTTAAATATGCATTCATCTCAATCAGGAAGGCTCCCACACACCCAGTGTTTCAGAATAGAGGAGGTTCCATAAGATTACACAATGAGATGTACCATAAGTACTCATTAGAAAGCTGCTTATGAGGGACAGCGCTCACTGGTTACTAAATGGCCATCTATTCAGAGATGGTACTAGCCCAGTACAGGTTTTCTACTTCATGTACTCCCAACTGCTAAAATCAGAATCTGGGGGACCTGAGGGAGGCGTTTGAGACAGTGGGGGAGAGCCTGCTCTCCGAAGCCTGTCTATTTGTGGACCACAGGCCACTACCACCGCATGCACCACCAGGCAGGTCCCACAGTTCCTCTGGGCTTCAACTTCAATAAAGAGTACTGAGATAGAACAAGAAAGGCCTAAGTTGCCGATCATGTTTTTCACCTTTAACAATAAGCTGGTTTGCCCCAGTTATGCCACCTGCTTTCTTTAAAGCTTCCAGGGGCCCCTCCCTGACTGCCACCTGCGCAGAATGCCCGGCTCTGACAGCTTTGGCCTTCCTGGGGTGGCAGTCTTGAGCCCTTCACCGTCTCTGCAAACAGTCCTGGCACACGTGAGCAAGTAGCCAGGTCGAACCGCAGACCCGGCGCCGAGGGCAAAGCCCAGAGAAGTGGGCACAAACCCTGAACCCTGGGCGGCGCCGTGGGGCGCGGAAATCGCCGATGTCTCCCCCAAACGCCGCCCGCGCACCCTACTAGCACACGTCTCCCCGGCGCTAGGGCTCCAAAGCCTCGCTCACGTGGTGCCGGGTGCCTCTTGGTGATTTCCATTTCCAGGGGGCTGATCGGCCACGGCCACGGCGCCACATTAGAGTTGTTGGGAAGATCAAATGAATTCGCAGCGGCAGCTCTAGGACCCACCCTGGCACACACCGACCCCATGGAAGCCTGGTTCTGCTGGCTTTTCCCCTTAAAATGATACCGTTCCTCCCTTCACTTCACCGAAAACAAAAGATCTAGGGTCAAAAAGTTCCCAAGACCCCGCGGGTTTTCACTCACGGTCAAAACCCCACCGCAGGCGGGCGCCCCAGCGTTGAAGACTCGAGGCCGGAGCGCGGCCGCATCTCCAGGCAAGGCGCCCCACGCCGCCAGGAAATGCTAGGAACAGCTGAATTGAGGAGTGGTCACACATTTTTGCCCCGTGTATTTGCTAAATGGAGTAATTAACATTTCTAATTAAAAGTTACTGTCTCTTCTTGCTTAGTCAGGATCATCTCCAAGAGCCTGGGCGCGATGGCACATGCCTGTAATCCCCGCGGCTCGGGAGGCTGAGGCAAGAGGATCGGGAGTTCAAAGCCAGCTCCAGCAAAAGCAAGGCGCTAAGCAACTCAGTGAGACCCTATCTCTAAATTTAAAAAATACAAAATAGGTTTAGGAATGTAGCTTAGTGGTCGAGTGCCCCCGAATTCAATCCCCAGTAACAACAACAACAAATCATCTATGGATTGCTGACCTCTTTGCTTTTCTTTATGTTAAACACACAGGGTGATAGAAGATAAGAAATAGACCTTAAAATCTTAACTGAAAATATATTTCCCTCAGTAACCATTCTCTTCATTTTAAAATAACCTGAATTTCAAAACCAAATATTTTAATCAGTATTATGTTAAATGTCCTGGGTCTCTTAAAAAATTATGATCTTTCTACATCTTACTGCTTTTTAGATACATATATTATGCTATTAATATGCCCTGCAAGGCTAGCAATGAAGATAGCCAGGAAGGAGAATCCATCAAAGCAAGGCAACAGATATTATCCTTACCCATGGAATCCTCACTAGAACTCTTGAGGCAAAAATTCAGTGGAGTAACAGCAAGGGTGACCTCCTCTTGACTTGATGTAAAAAGAACAATCGCCTCAGCAAGCAGTCTACAAAATGTAATGAAATGTTTTAACATCACTTGGAAAACAAACAAAAAGACATCCTTGTTAATTGGGACTTGAATCTTTAATCTGGAAATTAATAATTGGCCTGCGCTTAAGAAAATGTACCCAAAAGGCCTGTTTTCTTTCTTATATGTCAACTGTCGTATGTCTAGTATATCTTTTTTTTTTAATTTTTAATATTTATTTTTTAGTTGGCGGACACAACATCTTTGTTGGTATGTGGTGCTGAGGATCGAACCCGGGCCTTACGCATGCCAGGCGAGTGCGCTACAGCTTGAGCCACATCCCCAGCCCCTGTCTAGTATATCTTTAAATTATAATTTCATTTGAAGTCCAAGAGAATAGCAAAATACATCTGACAGCTGCAGCATGAACAAAAACACCACATTACATATATTATGTGTGTGTGTATATACATATAGAAGTCCATTTGTTTAGTTGATCTGAGATCAGACTGAAAAGGGAGACAGTCGAAAATGAAGCTGTTTAAATACAGCTGGGGTGAACTATGCTGGAGGCCCAGTTAAGGGGGTGGAGTTTGATAAGCAGCCTGCTGCCTGTATTTTCTTTTACTTTGTTATTTTCCTGGACAACCTCTTGTCTGTTGCTTTCAAGGCTCTCTGGATATCCCAAGTGCTCAATACAGCCTTCCTGAGCTATAACTCACAGATAACACAACACACAGATTTAAAGTCTGATTTGCATTTTCCTAATGACTTTTTATCTGTTTTACCTGTGTATTGGCCATTTGAATGTCCTCTTTGAGGAAATGTCTATTAAAATCCTTTGCCCATTTTTTAGTTGGGTTGTTTTTTCAAAGATTGCATTACAAGTTCTTCTCTCCTTTTGAAATTGAAGTGTTGTTAGATAAAAGTGAAATTCTTAGAATTTATGCAATCTTGGTGTCAACCTGATGTTAGACATTAGCTTAGCAGTGTTTACTGATGTCTAAATGTCAGGAACACCAACCAAGTTCATTTGAGAACTTTTTCATTGTTGAGGGAGAGGTGGTGAGGGGTGTTATACAACTCCTTCTCTTCCTCCTCTCCTTCCCCCCACCAGTTCTGGGAATGAACCAAGGGCTTTGTGCAAGTGCTAGGCAAAGTGCTCTACTACTGAGCTACACCCCTAGCCGCTAAGAAGCCAACTATCTTCATACAAGAACCAAATGCTAATAAATACATTTTTTAAATGCCCAAGCTCACTACTAATAAGGAATACACAACCATAAAGAATATCTAATAATACCATTTTTTTACCTATTAGATTTGCAGACATTTTAAAGATTTATTATATCATCTACTTAGAAGAATTCTCCTATATTTTGGTAGGAATGAAGACTGACCCAAACTTCACATGGCAATTTAATAGTATCTATGCAAATTTAAAATTTGTATAAGCCTTTGACCCAGTAATTCCATTTCTAGGACTCTGGGTTAGGTAGCCTATAACATGGCCCCAATGATCGCCAGCTCCTGATGTTCACGCCCTTAACCTCTTTCCCTTAAATAACATGGGGTAGATTTCTTTTTTTATTATTATTATTATTTTTTAGTTGTAGTTGGACACATAACTTTATTTTATTTATTTTTATGTGGTGCTTAGGATCAAACTCAGAGCCTCACATGTGCTAGATGAGCGCTCTACCGCTGAGTCACAACCCCAGCACCTACATTCATTTCTAACACAGAGAAAATGGAAGAAGTGATGAGATGGCAAACAAAAATTGTGAAATTACAGGATCAAAAGACCTTGGCCTCTGTCTTGCCAGTACTGTCTGTGTTCTCACTTGCTCAGAGCAGTTATCATTTGTGAAGACACTTAGGCAGCTATAGACAGGCACATATGGCAAGGATCCCAGGCCTACCAATAACCACATGTCTTCGCAACAGCCCTGGCAATGAGCTTGGAAGTGAATTCCCCAAACTGAGCCTTTAGATGAGACTGTAGCCCTTGCAATGTCTTGACTTCAGCCTCATGAGAGACCTTGAGCCTGTAACACCCTGCTAAGCCACATTTGTTACTATAGAATTAAAAAATGTCTGACTTTGAAGGCACTAAGTTTTGGGGAAATGATGAATACACTATCTTGTGTCCTGCTAGCAGAATTATTTATGACAGCAGAAAGTTGGAACAACCTAAATTTTCATCAAGAGGTTAGAGTAAGCAAATCATGGCTCAGATATATAATGAAAAATTATGTAATCATTCAAAAGAATAAGATTGATTTAAGTGAACTGATATAGAAATATGCTCACAATTATATACTAAGATTTAAAAAGTAAGTTGTGGAAGAAAAAGAAAAAAAAGCAAGTCATGGACGGGGGATGTGGGTGAATGGTGGAATGCTTGCCTAGCATGCACAAGGCCACAGGTTCCATCTCTACCACTGTGGGTAGGGGAACAAGTGGCCAAACAATATAGAGAGTAGAACATTTTCTTAAAACAAACAAACAAACAAACAAACAACTATATATGTGTAGTAGGTGATATTAAGGAAATAGAGATTTATAACAATAGGGAGAAATACAAAATTGTTAATAAAGGGGACCTGACTGCCAAGTGGGACAGGAGGTGGCAGAGAATACTTTCATTATTTCCTTTGCACATTTCTATATATTTGGATGTATTAAAAGGAATAGGTGTAAACTTTTGTAATTTAAAAAATAAAGAACCTGTGTAACTCTACATCATGTACAATCAGACAAATGAGAAGTTACACTCTATTTATTTATGATGTGTCAAAATGCATTCTAGTGTAATGTATAACTAATCAGAAAAAAATTTTTAAAAAACCCAAAACAATAAGAAGTCAGGCTTAGTAGTGAATGCCTGCAATCCCAGCAATTTGGGAGGCTAAGGCAGGAGGATCACAGGTTTGAGGCCAGACTCAGCAACTTAATGAGACCCTGTCTTAAAAAAATAAAAGGGATGGGGATATAACTCAGTTTTAGAGCACCCCTGAATTTAATCCTTAGTAACACATACACACGTGAGTGCATGTGCGAACACACACACACACACACACACACACACACGAATAAGGATGAAATAAACTTTGGCTCACAGCAAAAACTGGGTGTAATTTCACTGACAAAATACTTCACTCATTATCTAGAGAAAAAAAGCACTTAGGGATAAAATCAGTCTGCATTTAAAGTGTTTAAAAAGTTTCCTGCTGCTGTATGTTCTAAGATTTAGATAGGTACCATATAAATGTAAGTATTATGAGATAATATATATTCTTCTCCTTTGATAGAACTTGATGTAAAAAATCATGATAGGATATTTTTAGAACTTTCGTGGCCACTAAATTATTGCTGCTATCATCAGGCAGTTATCATCTATTATATCAAATTTCCTTTTGACCCTGTAAAGTGATTTTTCTAAGTCAAGTTTTAGCTTTAAAAAAAAACCTGTAAGTAGGGCATTATTTTTTCATCCTGTGGCCATACTATATTCAGAAAAAGAAAAGTAAACAACATAAAACTCATTACCTTGGCTGAATCATCAGTGTATTAGTACACATATTCTTCTCAAAAATAACTTGCAAAGGCTGGCTTTCTTGAAAACACACATTATGAGTTCTTTTAATACCTTAAAAATAACAAAGCAAACTCTTAATCATTTTAAGCACAAGAAAAACAGATTTTTTTGTATCTTTAATTTTGACAGCACAAATAAAGTAACATTTGCTATATGGCAGGTGCTCGAAGTTCGGAGCAGCACTGTTCCTCAATGAGATCTGTTACCGCTCCCTAGTGGACTCCAGGCAACATGACACCGAGGACCAGGGAGGCAGTGAAGAACCCCAAATCCTCTGAAAGACAGTTCCTTAATTTGTAAAACAGTCACCGGCCACTATAGACCACATCTCTTTCAGCTTCTCTTATCCAGATTAATTTTTCAGACAGGACTTTTGGCAGTTAGACCTCCACATCTGGTCTGTGAATTATTTTCCTTTTGGAGGAAAAAGAGAGGTAGCAACATAAATTGAGTATCCCTTATTCCAAATGCTGAGACCCAAAGTGTTTCAGATTTGGGAGTTTTGGGGATTTTGAAATATTTGCATAGACTTTATAGGTTAAACAACCCTAATCTGAAAACTGGATTTCAGACCTCAGCACCCTTCAGATTTCAGATTTTTTGGGTTAGGGATGCTCCTCCAGAATGAGTCTGACCCTCAAATGAATATGCTAGGAAGCACACATTTCACATACATCCTCTGTGATCCTCGAAATATCCCTATAGTGTAGAGGCTTAATCTCAGAAGAGGAAACTGCATCTCAGTGAGGTTACGTGACTTTTCAAGGTGATACAATTTTAACAATTACAATTAAAACTATGAATCTATTTGCATACAGAACCCATGCAATAAAATCCAGGGGGTTTGCATACAGAACCCATGCAATAAAATCCAGGGGGCTATAATTTTATAGCATAATAATGTTACACTGAAGCTGGGTATAGTGGCACATGCCTGTAATACTAGTGACTTAGTAAGCTGAGGCCTCAGCAACTTAGGGAGACCCTGTCTCATAATAAAAAATAAAAAGGACAAGTTTGTAGCTCAGTGGTGGAGCACCTCAGTACCAAATAATAATAATAAAATAATGTTGCAGTGAGAATCAAAGGACTCACTAGAAACATTTCTCAACTTATATGTTTGGTGTTTTATTGTTCTTTTTTATTTTGCTGAATTCATAACAAAATAATATTTATTAACTTAATATTACTGAGTGTGTATCTGGCTGTATTAACCAGCTCGGACCACATGAGAAGAAATCACTCCAAAATTTAGTAGCTTAAAATAACCAGCACTTGTTACTTCCCACAATTTAGCTGAGGGCTTTTCTGGCCTAGGCTGGGCTTAGCTGTGGTTGGATCATGTAGGATGGCCTTGTTCCCTATCTGGGCCTCAGCAGGAACAAGTGGGAGAGTTGGGACAGCTGAGGCCTCTCCCCACCTAGCCAGGAGTGCTCTAGAAGGCCACACCACACTTGTTCTCATGCTGATGGAAAGGTTCTCAGTGGTGGAAGCTGACAGGCCTCTTGAAGTCCCGGCTTGGACTCAAACAAAATCACTTCTAATGAGTTCTTCTAGTATCAAAGCAAGTTTCCAGTCAGCCAAGATTCAAAGTGGGGAAACATGCCCCAGCTTTTGAAGAAGAGACTACAAATAATTTGGGATTTTTTTTTTTTTGTAATATACCACATAGGGATGATTTTTAGAAGCTGGAAATATCAGAGAAAAAATCAGACAAAAGTCTTTGTCCTCACAGTTTACATTCTAGTAAGGGAGACTGACAATAAGAACATAAATGTGTAAAATGATAGGCTATGGAGGAGGACATGCACCCCTGGAAAGAAGTACACCACGGCTTTTGGATCCTGGACAAACTTACGAGTCAATTCTAAGATCTTTGCTTTTGCTCTGAGCAAAATCGGGAGCTATTTGAGAATTTTGAGTTTGAATGATATAATCTGACCTATATTAAAGGGTGGCTTTTTTAGGAAGGCACAAAGCTCAAAAACTGACATCTCTTACCTGTTTTTTAAAATATTTTCTTGTCACTTATGGCAAGATGATAATAGGTACATGTAGAATCAAATTCAAAGATAACAAAGAACAGCAAGTGAAAAGGAAGTCGCCCTCCCCTGGTTCCTGCCTTAGCCCCCACAGAAGCCACTTCCATCACTGTGTCTTAGGTAGTCTTGAGAAATAGCCCATGCGTATCAAAGCACCTTCTTACCCACATAGCATTTGGATCAAGTGAACACTGGTGAGGGCTCAGGCTGAGGAGTGTCTTTTTCCACTATCCCTGAGCCTCCCTTTTCCTCTACTTCCTTCCTTTTCCTTTTCCTTTTCCTTATGAAAGGCCCTGAATGCTCTCAACCTACACCTTGGCTCACAGTGCTTCGTCTTTCAGAATGACCTTCCACTGCCACCTACTGGAAACTTGCCAATGGGACATCATTAGCCAGAAAATCTTTCCCCCTTGCCTCTCACCCAAAGAATATTCCACTATGTCCTTTTAGAAACAATTTGGCTTCACTTCACTAGTTCTTTTAGTCTAATACTAATTCTCTTTCATAGAATGCAAATTAGATAAAAATTTTAAAATTTGTTTTCTCTCTGGGTCACTTATTAACTTTAGTACACCACAAAGTACTGTACTATAATAAGGTGAGGAGTTTTCACCAGAATTTACTTCCTTCATCAAGAAAGTCTTACTATTAGGGGCTAAGATTGTGGCTTAGTGATGAAGCACCTGCCTGGCACATGTGAGGCACTGGGTTCAATCCTCAGCACCACATTAAAGAAAAAGGGCTGGAGATGGGGCTTAGTGGTTTAGTGCCCCTGAGTTCAATCCAAAAAAAAAAAAAAAAGAAAAAAAAAGAAGAAAGTCTTAACTATTAAGCCAGGCAATGCCAGCTACTGGCAGGGGCTAGTGGAGGTTGTGGCAGGAGGATCTCAGTTCAAGTCAGCCTCGGAATTTGGTGTGACCCTGTCTCAAAATAAAAAACAAAAGGGATGGGAACATAGCTTAATGGTAGAGTACTTACCTAGCATGTGTGGTATTGATTCAATCCCCAATATGTTCCCCCCCTCCTCTCTCTCTCTCTCTCTCTCTCTCTCTCTCTCTCACACACACACACACACACACACACACACACACACCATCTTACTATTAAAAAAAAAAGCCAGGCACTGTGGCATGCACCTGTCTCTGTCTACTTGGAAGACTAAGGCAGGAGGATTGCTTAAGAACAGGAGTTTGAGCAACATTGTAAGTCCCCATCTCTTTAAAAACAACAATCAAACAAACAACAGCTAAACTAAAGAGAAGATTTAGTAATGTATTTGTCTTAAATTCTGACATAAGCTCATTATTAGGCCATGAACTCAGACAAGTTACAGATAATTTGGACCACTCTAAAGACCAGTGCTCCTGTCCATGGGTACTTGATCCTATGCTGGAGTTCTTGCTACTCCATAAGCTCAACTTAGAACTTCTCTCAATGGATCCAGACAACTCTCTGAACCTGAAGCAGTACAGCTAAGGACCAACCATTATGATAGAGATGTTATATTTGTGGAGTTTGGAATTTCAGAGGCAATCTGGTACACCTTCAAATCTAGTAAGTTATTCAAATGTTTTTTTTTTCTTTAAAATCATTTTGAGTCATTAGTACACTTGGAGAATACTCTTTGAGGAAAGCTTAAGACTTTGAGTCCAGCCCTTTGTACTTCACTTCAGTAATATACATGCATGAATCAGATTTTATTTTCCCTCAAAAAAAAAAAAAAGTACACTCTCTTTTGGAAGCCCCTCTCTACTGGAGATCTAGCTCCTAGAGCCAGGACAGAATTACCAGCAGGGTGTTTGTATACAGCATGTTCTTTAGGGACAACCTACTGACTTTTTCTTAGCAACTCTGGGGCCAGGGCAAAAGGAAATATGAAGGACTGGTGATAGAAGTCATCCTTTGATTTATTAGCAGATGCTAAACAATGTAGAAAATCACTGTTCTGAATGTTGTTTATGGTTAGATTCACCAGGTTATTGATGTAAAGCTGCAGGTTATTGATGTAAAGTTGCAAGCATAATTTGCTGAGCAATACAATTCTGGAGACTACAACTACTTAATCCAGCTCTGTGCTTCACATAAGCAAGTTTACCTCAGCCTCAGTGCGACCTGTAATGTGAGGGTAGGCAAGATGATCGCCATTCTCCAGAGAAGAAAACAAAAGTTTGGAGAGTTCATGTGCTGCAAGAAGCTAAGATGAAGTGGAATGAATTCATACCCACATCTTTGGGATATTAAGACATGCTCTGTGTTGTAATCATACTCTTTGCATGATTCTGCTATCAGATGAACTAAAGTTCAGAGAAGGGAAAATAATATCAAACCATTGGTATTTCTAAGGAAAAAATAAGGATTATAAATGTACAATGAAATTTAAATATGTTATGATAAGCATAAGAAAAACTTAAGAAAAATGTAACAGTAAAGGGGCTGGGGTTATGGCTCAGCAGTTACTTAGCACGTTTGAGGCCCTGGCATCCTCAGCACCACATAAATATCAATAAATAAAATAAAGGTATTGTGTCCAACTACAATTAAAAAATAAATATTAAAAAAAAAGAAAAATGTAACAGTAAGATACCTTCCTTAAGGTCATTCTATTACAAAAAAAGATTTGGACTAATATCACAAGTTGAGATGTGTGTGTGTGCAGTACTGGGGATTGAACCTGTGTGTTTTGTCTCTGAGCTACATCCCCAACACCTTTTTTTTTAAAAAAATTTCTTGTGGGGTGTTGGGGGCTGGGGTTGTAGCTCAGCGATGGAATGCTTGCCTCACACCCATGAGGCACTGGGTTTGATTCTCAGCACCACATAAAAATAAATAAAATAAAGTTATTGTGTCCATCTATAACAAAAATATAAATATTTTAAAGTTTTTAAAATTTGAGGCAGGGTTTCATTAAATTACCCAGGTTGGCCTTGAATGTGTGCACCATCAGATATGTTTTTAAAACATAAAATTCTTCCTGTTAACTTAAAAGAAAATAGCAGTGATCCTAATAAATATAACTAACGCTATCCCTTACAGAATATACAGGCTCTCTTATAAATAAAAGAATGCTTTACTAAGCTTTGAATCCTTATAAAAATCATAGAAGGCTGATACTAACATATATTATGGCTCCATTTTACATACTGAGAAAAAGTGGCACAAAATATAAAATAATTTGCTGTAGGTCTTACCACAGAGGGGACAGAACCAGATTTCACCCTAGGCTTTGTGGCATTCAGAGTCCATATTCTGAATCAGTATGCCATACATGTTAAGAATGCAAAAGTCCTTGGCTGAGGCTGGGTTCAGTGATAGCACACTTGTCTGGCATGTGTGAGGCACTGGGTTCTATCCTCAGCACCACATATAAACAAATAAAATAAAGGTCTATCAACAACTAAAAAAAATTTAAAAAGAATGCAAAAGTCCTGTCAGTACAACATTTTAATATCTTGCTTATAAGCCTGAGGTCAGGAAATGTGAAAGGTTGGTGTAACAGAGAGAATAAATGCAAGCTTTGGCTCCCAAAGTGGGCAGGATTCAAATCCAGGCTCTGTGATTTATTAGTTCTGTGACTTTGGGCCTCCCTCAGCCCCAGCTTGATAATATTCTACTCCTAGACACTTTCAATATCAGCAGGCATTTTTTTTTTTCTGTTCTTACCTAGGAGCATTTGTGACTAATACCATAGAGTAATCAGTCAATTTTAGAGTAACCAATTTAAATTCAAATAAGCATTTTAAAATAGCAGTTTGTATGTAGGTAAAGCTTGTGCCATTCACAAGTCATAAGAAGGAAATAATTAATACCAATCATCTTACAATACTCCTACAGAGACAGTTAAGATAATACAACTGCCCTACCACATAACTACACAAATCCTAAGCAACAATGTTTATGTGACATCTTGAGAGTCTGAATACTCTAAACAAGAATCATATTAAGAAGCAAACATGGGCTGGGGATATAGCTCAGTTGGTAGAGTGCTTGCCTCACATGCACAAAGCTGTGGATTCAATCCCCAGCACCACACACACACACACACACACAAAAAGAAGAAAACACAAAAATTTAAACCACTTTGAACACCTACCATGCCTGCAGAAGAACTGAATAACTATTTTGCATTCATCAGAGCTGGTGAATATTTTGCACTTTTCTACATTTCTTTCGAGAGAAGTCAGACATCTAAAGATGGGTAGAATTGACTGTAACACAAACATATTATACATATTAAGAACATACCTAATATGGTTGTTTTATCTGTTTCTTTAAAACTAACAAGGATGTATGTAATATTCATAAATAAGCAGAATTGTCCTGCATGCCATCTGAATTACCAAGTATAGAATATATGTTATATCCTATATAATAAATATTTTTCCAATGCAAGAGAAACCCAAGACTACTTATATTTACCTTCATTCCCAATTTGCAATTTAAATTCAATGCTCTGTCATTATCATTCATTTTCATTGAGGTTGACCATTGATAATGTTGAAAAAATACAGGAGAGAATAGGACACATCCATATGCCGATCGAGAAGAATTCATTGATCTTAGAGCAAGCTGGGAAAAATAAGAGAGCTATTTAGGAGAAAACCAACTTTCTTTAAGTGATAGTTGAATACTTAAATTCAATTATGTTTAATATCCTGGTTAAATAAGTTCAATTATAACACCATGAAATGTTAACTATGGACTACACCATTCAGTGTATATTGAATTTGCATATATACATACATATGTGTATGTATCTATATTAAATTGAAAATGAAAATGCCCACGGGGAATTGAAAATGCCCACAGGGGCTTTAACTTTAATGGATAAAGTGGCATAAGGTGATATAAAAAGGAGTTATAGTAAATTGGTGGTCTCATACCTCATCTAAGGGAGAAAAACCATTACTTAGTTCTGGTTAACTAATTCCATTTGTGATTGTAAGCCCAAAATTGTCAGGTCTTTTAATTTTATTTATCTGTTTGCATTACAATCCCAGTCTTGGGTCTTTTACATTTTTAAGAGAAGCAGGAAATTCAGATTTTTATGTGGACTCTCACAATTTTTAAATGTTAGAAATTATTTCAATTTTTGAGGGAGTATGCTGGAATTGAACCCAGTGCCTTGTGCATGAAAAACATACATTCTACCACTGAACTACATCTCCAGCCCCTCCATGAAAAAACAAACAACAGTGTAGGTCTCACAGAATATTTCTACAGGCCACATCTAGTCTCTTGATCACCAGTGTATCACTTCTGACTTGAATAAATTATGTTTTTCTGCATGATTTCAAGTTTCCTGTGCTCTAAGTAGACTGAGATATATAAAATAAAGGTGAACAATGAAAGGGATAACTGTAATTTCTGAATTTCCTGGTCCCATTCAATCTGGACTAGGATCTTTAAACATTTCTGTATTACTGCATGATCTATTACTTCACATTCTTATTTATTTTACCAGAGAAAAACCTAAATAAACCCTCCAGATTCTCTTGCTCTTAGTTGACTTTTTAAAAAAATCACTGATTTTGGAGATCACAGAGATGGAAATAAATTATTAGCCTCCTCAAAGCTAATAAATAATTAGCCTCCATTAGCTTTGGGGTAGATATCATCTCTGACATGTGAGTTATGATGATAGGTTGTATGGGTTACTTTTCGGGGACTTGAAGGCCACTTTTGCTGAAAACATTGACTCTTCACTTGGGTGTGCTTATGTCCAATGGGTGACTGGAATAGGATGAAAAGACTCTGGCCTCTCTGCCTCCAAATTGTGACTTTCTCCTTTGCTGCCTTAACCTTGGATCAGGTTTTCACTCAGCTCTGCATGTAGACATGTTGTTCACTTGAGAAATGTTTTGCCCAAAACTATGACGCAGGGTTAACTAGACTTGTTTAGCCTCTTTTCTCCCACTTCAAGGCTAAAGAAACCATCACCAGAAACACCAGACATAACTGAAGTAAAAAGAGGTGGCACCCCAAGTTCCTGGAAGATTTCTACCTGTTCCCAGAAAAGATATGAATTTTCTTCCTTTTATTAGCCTATCTCTCTCCCTCATTATTCCTGTCCTATATCCCAAACCACTGAAGCCCCTGGAGTTGAGAAGTTGATGTGCCAACAGAGCGCCCTCTTGCCCCATTCTTGGACATTAAATAAAGCCTTTCTTTCTCCCCAACTCGTTTCTGGGACATTGGTTTGTATGTGGGATGAGCTTTACTTTGGTAACACTTACACCTTTTTCAGAGGGGTCTAGCCACAGCTCATCACTCACTCGGGATAAAGCCTGGATTGCTTTCCCAAACACTATGGAGAAAAAGAAAAGCACTGTTTACATTTCTTCTTTCTAATAACAAAAACAAACCACAGGGCTACTTCATCAAGCAGAGGACTCAAGATAAATTCATAAAGATCAGTGGAATCTACTGAACAATTTGTTCCTGCAGGTCAAATTCTTTAACAGATTCTTCAGTTGAACAATTCTTCCCTGCCCTGTGGGTCTAATTCCTAGAGAGAGAAATAGAGGCTTTTGGTTTTGTAGATAATACGCATCAACCAACTATTGGTAATATGGAAATAGATGGCAACGATTCTACCCACACTTTGTTGCCTATTTTGCAACACATAGTTCAGCCTGGTTCTACCATTCATTCTAATTCATGGACTGTATAGACGGTAATAACATTCAGCTTTTCCTTGGTTTCCAATAAATTCAAGTTAGCCATAATGATCTCAACTTCTGTTTCATGTCAAGTCCTATCAGAACAAATGCAAATCAAAGTGCAAGATCTCAAAAGGGGTTTATTGCAATATGTTGGATTCATCTTTGGCTGAATTTTTGTGGTATGATTGACCTGGAAATAATGCTTTTGAATTCCTTCTCCTGCATATATTGGAACAATTTCCTTAATCAAAATAGGATGTTTTGACTTTTGGTTTTTGCATGTTTTATACAAATATCTAGGGACAAATTCTTTAATGACAGACAAATTGTTCAACTGATCCATATAACATTTTCTAGACTAATGACACATTGCTTTAAGAAATACAGTATAATGCCTTTGGCAAAATGCCATCACATAGTAGGAGCTCAATAAATTTGCAGAATGAGTGTATAAAATTCAATGACATTCTTTCTTCTATATGTCTGCAGTATTGTGTGGAGCTGTTGTGGCAAGGAAATTTCCATACTATTGCATTTTTTCAACTTAGTTTAAATAAATCTATTTGAAAAAATATATGGAAAAAGGGCATGGAGAGGATGATTTTAAATGTTTTAATAACTCCACAGCTGGTCATGTCAAAAAGCATCACCAGAGAGGCTGGGGTTGTGGCTCAGCAGTAGAGTGCTCACCTAGTATATGCGAGGTGCTGGGTTTGATACTCAGCACCGCATAAAAAATGAATAAATAAATAAAATAAAGGTATCGTGTCTAACTACAACTAATTTTTTTTAAATGCATTACGAGAGAGGAAATTAAGAGTATTCATCTCTGCCTGAGGTTAGCATGGGGAAATACCAGATTTTACCATAGAAGATGTCAGACTTTCCCATCAAACACACTTACATGTCCTGTTAGAGAGGCTAGGGCTGGATGAAATATTGGTCTGGCTTGGGTTAATACCATTAATGTTCTTATAAATTATGAATAAGTAAAAACTATGCAAATAGAGGAAACTATGCTGTAATATAAATGGATGGACCTATCAATCTAATGAAGAACATAAAAAAGAAATAACAATCCCAGAATTCAAATTGCAATGCTAAAGAATCACAAGTGTGCAAACTAGGAAAGATGGGATGACCTAAATAAATAAATAATTTTAAAAGAGACATGTGTCTCTTCACATTTGCTTCCTGGATTGCCTGATGCAGACCTTTCATTCACCCAATGAATATGTATTGATCACCTACTAGACTCCAAATACAGCCCAATGCGCTGGGATACAGTAATGAACAAGACAAGTATAGTTCCTGCCCTCATCACATTTACAGTCTAGGAAGGAAAGCAAAATTAAATAATCACAGAAAATTGGCTACTGATGGGGCTGGGGTTGTGGCTCAGTGACAGAGCGCTTGCCTAGCATGTGTGAGGCACTGAGTTTGATTCTCAGCACCACATATAAAGATTCCTGACAACTAAAAAATATTTTTAAAAATTACCTATTGAAAAAGACGGTGCACACTGCTAAAGACAATTTCCTAGTACTCTGGGAACAAGTAACAATGGGGGAACTTGTACTTCCTTTCCTGCTCATTATTATTTTCCTATATTTGTCTTCAACACAAATGAAGCCAGGCACAATACAAGATAGTTTTCAATGACCATTTTCAGGCTACAATTTATAGAAAGCCACTGCTTTTCTAAATGCTTTCTGTATTAACTTCCATTTTTAAAGGGCCATATACAATGAAGAGCAGTTCCATACATTCCCTTTTGTTTATATTAATTTCCATTTCATGCCTACAACAAACCCTATTCATGAAAGTGCTTTTCTAAAGTGCTGCTAAGGTTCCCATTTTACAGATGAGGAAACAGACTCAAGGTGATTTAGTGGTTTTAAAATCATACAATCTGCTGGGCGTGGTAATCCCAGCGATTTGGAAGGCTGAGGCAGGAGGATCACAAGTTCAAAACCAGCCTTAGCAACAGCAAGGTGCTAAGCAACTCAGTGAGATCCTGTCTCTAATAAAAAAAATAAAAGGGATGGGGATGTGGCTCCGTGGTCCAGTGCTGAGTTCAATCCCCAGTACCAGGGGCTGGGGATGTGGCTCAAGCTCGCCTGGCATGCGTGCAGCCTGGATTGGATCCTCAGCACCACATACAAACAAAGATGTTGTGTCCCCCGAAAACTAATAAATAAATATTTAAAAATTCTCTCTCTCTTAAAAAAAAAAAAAAATCCCAGTACCAAAAAAAGATTGAATCTGTGCAAAAAAGCAGGCTTATTTTTTTTTTCTGGGCACTAAAATACTTTGTCCACACATTATTTTTCTCCCCACTCCTCCCCAAACGCTGCGCAGTACTGAACACTACGCCTCAAAGGAGAGGGGCCTTCATCCTGCCGTCAGAAGCCCCCAGGGCCCTCGTGGGGACAGGCAGTGGTCAGGACGCGACTTCAGCGCTGGCGCACAAAGGCAAAGGGAAAGAATGAGGCGACAGTTGAAGACACGTCATTGGCTTTTTAGACTTTTCCTCTTCTACATAGGGAGGCAAAAAAGGCTGTTCCACCTTTCACCTGACTGCCATTCATCCCGCACTTCAGCATGGCTGCGGTTGCTGAAAGGCAGGGTTGTAAGGCGTAGGTTAGCTTGCTGGCCCCAAATGCCCGGATGTTGTCCGCGTTTTTCGAAGCTACGCAGCCTCAATTCCTCCCACTCTCACTCCGCCTCCACTAATTCTCAAAACACAGGTTCGCATTCCGGCGGTAAAAGGACTGTGCGGGTCCCCGTAGGGCCGTCTCCAGTCGACCTCGCTTTTCATTGGTTGAGAGGAAAGTGGGCGGGTCACCGAGGAACCTGAGGAAGAGGGTGGCTGCTGTTCTGGTGACTGAGCGGAGCCCGGTGACAGGATGGTGAGGACCGCCGCTGGTGACCCGGGCCTGGCTATCGGCGGGGTTACTGCATCGTTGGGAGCCGTGGGGGATTTCAGGGCGAGGGCTTGGGCCATCCCGGAGGCGTTGGCGAGCGCGGCCGAGGCGCCGGCCTGGGGAAGGCCCAGGAGGAGGGCTAGGAAAGGAAGGGAGCGGCCACCTCTGGGTGCGGGCGGTGCTGGCCTCGCCCCTGGGCCCCAGGAGCCAGAGGATGTCTGCGGGTGGACAGGGCCTCAGCTGCCTGCTCTGTCACGAGTTCGGCACGCTGGAGTGGGGAGGGCCTTGGGGCGGCACCTCCAGCGGCCCCCTCCGCTCCCAGGCGTGCCCTGCTCCTTTCCAGCTGGTTGGGGTGTGCTGGCCGCCACCCTGTGTGGCGAAAGCTGACCTCAGTGCCTAACGGGAAGTCTCCGCAGAACTCACTGGCCGTTCAAGTTTGCCATCTAGGCAAAGGGAGCGAGAGCCGATCTCTTTGCCCCTGGAATGACACGCAGCTGCCCTTGCTCTCCGAAGGCAGTGCCTGGGGCGACTCTCTAGAGCAGGATTCCTTGATGGGTGTGTGAATTCCATGAAATTATTTGGAAAATTTTGTGGACATGTGCTTTTGGGGTGGGAGAGAGAGCCAGAGTTGGCGCCAAGGGGTATTTTAGGGAGCTTTACCGCATTCCTGCATCGTATTTCCCCATGATTCCCCATCCAGCTTCAGGCTGTCTTCCATCACCCCCACAGGTTGCTAACCTTAAAACCCAACTACAGGGGCTGGGCTGTGGCTCGGCTGTGGCTCATTGGTAGAGCACTTTCCCACTTTAATTCCACTTTCCTAGCACGTGTGAGGCACTGGGTTCGATCCTCAGAACCACATTATAAAAATATATCATGTCCATCTACAACGAAAAAACAAACAAAACACCAAACTACATAAAAACTGGGGAGCTGCTGCTGTAGAGGATTCATAATTGTAATCAGATTTTCTAAGGTGTCTTTGGCTCTCTAAAATGTCAACTGTCGGCAGAGGAACTCTGATATTCTTGATGTTTGTGTTGGTGGAGTTTAACTGGAGGAACTTCTCTCTGATCATTACATTTTTAATACTGTTACTATTCTATAACAAATAGTACCTTTCAAAAGGTGTTTTATAAGGTGACAGTCTAAAATTTGAATTGTATAATTGTTTCTTTAAAGGCTTTAATCCTGGCCTGGTGTGGTGGTGCATGCCTGTAATCCCAGGGGTTTGATGGCAAATTTGAGGCAGCCTTGGCAATTTAGATAGACCCTGTCTCAATATAAAAAAATAAAAAGGGCTGGAGGTGTAGCTCACTCGTAGGGAGCTCTGGGTTCAACCTCCAGTACCAAAAATATGTAATAATATTATTATTGTTATTAACAAAGGCTTTAATCCCACTTTTGACTTTTTGCTTCTAAACAGACTCCAATTTACAGTACTGTTGAGACATTTATCCAAGGGAGAAGAAATACTTTCCAGCCATGATTCCAAATTCATGTTTCAGAAGTTGTTTAGAAAGGTGAACACTTTTGGGGGTAGATGGACTTTTCATATGAAAAAGAACTGAACAAAATTTATCATCAGCTAATTCTTTTATGAGTAAAAACATTTTATTTGGCAAAGAATTTTAGAGACATTTAACACTGTACAGTGCCCAGAGTCTGTGGGCAGCAAATTTAGATACCAGGAAGGTCCAATTTTAACTGGATTAATGTGTCTGTCTTTATTATCTTTGTTGACATTTTTGTCACTTGATATATATTTATGGTATTGTATACATCCTCTATGAAAAAAACAGCTGCAGCATAGTTTTTCACTATTAGAACTTTGAACATAAGAGAATTAAAGCCAATATACCTGAAGGATAATTAGAGCCCAAGAATCCAGAAGAGATTAACCTTTAGGCTATTGCCAATGAATTTCCAAATTGTTTTCTAAAAATTAAAAACTTTATTCTAAAATTTTAAACAGAAGAGAAACAAAAGAGATGGGAGTCAACATGGAGAACAAGATCAAATAGAAAAGTAAAAAAACTTATAAGGCAATTTTATTAAAAAGTGAGCATTCATGTCATGTTTTAAAGTACAGCAAATGGTTCTTTGGTTATTATTTTGAGCACAGCTGATTTTTAACATTTTCTTTCTTAACAATTAGAAATCATTAACAATTTTTTGCATATTCATTTGGTGTGGGATTTTTTGTTGTTGTTCTTTTTTTGATTTGTTTCCTTTTGTTGCTTTCTTTTAACACTAGTCATGTTTCATCCTTTTTTTTCCCCCCCATCCCCCTGTCTGCAATCAACTTCTTCATTCCACTAAGGCTGGGCACAGAGTAAGTTTCTTCTCTTAGCTCCTACTAACAATGGTGGTTGGGTGGCTGTTACTGACTGAGTTTCTCACCCTTTTGAGATCTGTCAAATAGGAAGTAACCAAATTCCCATGCTTTGTTTGGGTTGTTTCTTTATATGAATTTAACAAGACTGCCATATCCAGGATCTTTTGCTGTCTTAAAAGACTCTATAATCTGTATCTAACCTAATTTGTCAAAGTGTGGAATATTGGCAAAGACACTCCTGAACATATACTATATGATACTCTTTCCCTTATAACTTTGTCACCAGCAGAAAACCAGAGGATTCTGCCCTAATAAGAATCCTTAATTAATTTGAAAAAATTTCAGTGTGGTCTTCATACAGTTGTAGCTTTAGACTATTAATAGTCTTGGATATATGTGAGGATAATGCAGAGTGCTTTGAAGAATTTAGTTCATCGGTCATAAAGTATCATGACTAATTTTCTTTCTAGTGCATTCTGATTGAATGGTTCATTCATTATTAGTCCCAAACATGTTCAACCTCTAATAGACATATACACTGTTATGAATTTGTTCATTTTTAAATATAAAAATCTATTTTTTATCTTTTTCTTATATGCCAGCTTCCACATTAACTATGTACTTCAATCCATATCTGAAAGGATTCCACTTTAGAATGAAGATTGTTCTAGGGGTTGGTGTTTGTGGCTCAGAGGTAGAGCACTTGCCTACCATGTGTGAGATACTAGGTTCGCTCCTCAGCACTACATAAAAATAAAAGATATTGTGTCCACCTATAACTAAAAAATAAATATTAAAAAACAGAATGAAGATTGGTCTGTATCAAGGTGTTTTTATATTGATTACCAATGAGGGTGGAAACTACTTTGTAGAGTTTTTTAGTTCTACAGAGTTTATGTCCACTAAGCACTCCATTGAAACAGGTCATTGCACAAATATCTACTGAAACTATATTTATAAACTATAAAATGATATTTATAAGCTATAAAGAAGAAACTTATTTAACAGTTTCTCTTAAAATGTGCTAATTTTGTAACCTCATGTTACTTCAGTTACTTTGGGTCCTGATAACAGTTCCTTTCCTTTGCAGTCATTTTTATTTTTGTTGCCAGATGAATCAAACTTGCTTTAGAAATCATTTTAATTTACACATTTTGTTTTTTGATTAATTTCAGTTTATAAAGTCTGTGGGAGCAAAATTATTTTATCACATTAGGTATTTAATATTTTCTTTGATAATATTGAGGAATAGTCATGCCTTAGTTAAGGATGTTGACCAAATTGTTATATCATGTGCAAACACATATGTAACAAAGAATCCCACTATTGCATATAATTATAATGCACCGATTTAAAAATATGGGGAAAGGGGGCTGAGGTTATAGCTCAGTGTCGGAGCACTTGCCTAGTATGTGCAAGGCACTGGGTTCAATCCTTAGCACCACATACAAATAAAAAATAAAGGCAGTCTGTCCATCTACAACTACAAAAATTTTTTAAAAAATATGGAGAAAAAAGGGCAGAGAAAAAGCATGTACCTTTATGGATAGGATGTCTATAAGGGAAAACATCCTGTATGAAATGAAGGTGCTTAAACTAAAAACATTAAGAAATTGATTATGTTGTCTTTTTGAGGGCAGATTTTTTTTATTATATTATTATTACTTTTTTTTTAAACTGGGGGTTTCTCTGAGGGGCACTCTACACTGAGCTACATCCCCAGCCTTTTTTAAAATTTTGAGACAGGGTCTCACTAAATTGCCAAAACTGGCCTCGAACTTGGATTCCTCTTGCCTCAATTCTCAACCTCTCAAATAGCTAGATTACAGACATGTGCCAATATGCCTGGCTGAGGACAGAAATTATTTTTAAATTATCTTTTTTAACAATATTCTGTTAAATGACTAAATTATATAATGTTATTTGTCAAATCTTGAAATTTTACAGAAGTGGGGGTTTTTATTCTTTTATATTTCAGAGCAAAATATGATTTTGTCCTCTGAGACTATGTTGCAACTCTAAACTACCTCCTGCTAAATTCATCACTTATTTAACTGACTTTTCTTTTTTGTTTTAATCCTCTAATGCACAATAAAGATTGTGAATTTTTTTTTAAGTTTGGGAATTATACTGACAGTACATAGGTAATTTAATCTAGGAAATAAAAACATGACAGAGTTTCTAATGAAGGAAAGTGAAAATATCAAAAAAGGTTATAATTCATAAGCACATCTTTATTGTAACTCTGAATCATAGGCTGTTTTTGTACCTCTGTAATGCATAGCTAATAGTTGGAAGTAACAAAAATGGTAAATTTTGGCTTCTATTCTCCAAACTGACAACCTAGTATATGCATCAATTACAGAATTAACTTCTCTCTCATTAAATTTTTAATAATCCCCTTTAATAATGCTTCTGGAATTAAGATATAAATTTTACGTTACAACTACAGAAATATGAATTGCCCTATAAGCCTTCAAAAT